TATATACTCACACTTTCAAATTCACTTCAACATTAGACATGATTTTTATTTTGTCACTTTACTTTTTTTTAGAGAAAAACTTCGAGAAAACAATATTTATTTTTTTATTTCACTTAGAAACTGTAGACAATTTTCGTTGTTTTCGCTTGGACAAGCTCAATGCGATAGAGGCAGGATGACGGGTGAAGCTCACTTATATAGTCGATGAAGCTGTCAATGGAGGATATGGTTGCCAGCCTATGAATCATATAAATCAGTATTCGATAAGCAGATTAACTACATAACCGGTTTAGTGTTGCCTAAGCACATGCAGCAGGATAGGAGCAACCATCACTAATTTCCAATTGGATTACAATCAGAAAGTTTAACTAGAACTTGGTCTAGGAATTTGCCGTACTCAGCATTTGAGGAATACTTAGGCACCATCGAGGCAGGCAACATATAAGAATGGCTCGCACGTACCAGACTGACTAATACTCGAGCATTTTTCTAACAGGATATATAGATATATATATGTACTATAGCAATAGGGCGTAGACATGGACAATTGCAAGAGACAAACTCTAGAAATTGTAGTTGTTTCCTGAATTACATTTGGTCAATCTTTAGCAAAATTCAACATTAACTTAATGAGACCCTGGTGTCAACACAGAAGTTGTTATAGCAAACTCTCAACTCTCTAGGATGCTTCAATAGGTGCTCTAAGACATGCATGCACAAATCATATAGCTATCGCTTGCAGTCAGATCTTAAATAAAACATAATTTATATACTTTTTAGCTGCATAATAAATAAATTATAGTTAGTAAACTCCATTTGTTTTGGGTTTATTGCATTTGAACTGTCATCTGACAATCTGTATTTGTATATGTTGTTGTTGTTGCTTTTGCAAGTTGCACAGTCGCACAAAAAAACGAGTTAAATTGTATGTTAAACAGTTGGAGCTAAGCTAGATTGGCATTGTGCGGGACTTAGAGACCCGCTTGTAAGCCAAAGCCTGGGCCCTTTGGCTCCTCGATAAGCGAAGTGGGCTCGCCTTTGGGTTCGCTGGCGAAGCGTCCGTTGCGTGGTCCGGGCGGCGAGATCTTATCAGCTTTAAGATCGTTCAGAATCTCTTGCATATCCTTGCCGGTCAGATCCTCCTGCAGCATGGAATAGAATGTGATATTAGTTATAATCAAAATATATGGAAATATGTATTTTGAATTCATTTCCCCCTCACATAGTAATCATCGTTGATGGACACCATGGGCGCATTGACACAGGCGCCCAAGCATTCCACCTCGGAGATGGTGAACTTTTTGTCCTTTGTGGTTTCGCCGACGCCGATGCCCAGCTGTTTCTTGCACGTCTCCAGAATCTCATCAGATCCGCGCAGCCAGCAGGGCGTGGTGGTGCACACCTGAATATGATATTTGCCTGTTGGCTTGCGCATAAACATTGTGTAGAAGGTGGCCACCTCGTAGACGCGCATGTTGGGCAGACCCAGTATTTCGGCCACCTTGTGCATGGCCGATATGGGCAGCCAGCCATACTGACGCTGTGCCAGATCGAGCAGCGGTATCATTGCGCCACGCTTGTGACCCTCTGGATAGATGCTTAATATGGCCTCCACGCGTTTCTTGTTTTCGGCACTGAACTCAAAGGGTATGTTGGGATTATCCTCGGGTGTGTCGCGATGCACGAACAGATTGTCGCTGCGCTGGGCACTGCTGGTGGCAATGGCGCGCAGGCTGCCGCGCTGCAAATACAATATTGTTATTGTTTGTTGTGCAAAAAAATTACATAACTTGTCGCTAGTAATTGGCATTTGCATGTCAGCACTGACAGTGCGTTGCACAGCGAATTACTTACGACAGCGGCCAGCGTCTTTGCGGCACAATTCGATAGCATATTATGCACTTTTTAGCCAAATAATAAAGTTAAAAGTTGTATTAAATGGGAAGTGTCGGTGCCACAACCAGTGCCACAAACGATTTCGATTGCTTCGATCAGCTGGAGTTGCCAGTGTTGCTAAAGCATGGCATATCGTTACATTAAGGAATCCAAGCAACTCACGATAATAATCGCATCAATAGCGATATATTTGTGGCGCATTATTTGAACACAGATAAATCTGCGCTGCAATAATATAAATGATGCATAATAAATGATGCATATAAATGATGATAAACTGGCTATATATGTTTGATGTTTTTATTATTTCAATACACAATATTTACTCAATTGCTAACTATTTTACGTGTTACGGATTCAATTGTTCAATAATTCAATTTCTGTTAAATGCATGTTTTTCATATAAATACAGAAATGTTATACAATCACGCATTCTGCTCATAGTTTTCAGTTTTCATATCATTCAGGCCAAGCTCCTCGTTGTCCTCAAAGCTGCGTTCGTATCTTTCCACAATGAGCTTAGCATCCGGCTCATCGTCGTCCGAGAGCGATTGTACATAGGTATTACCGGCTGGGTCCTCCAGCACGAGTGTGATTACATGCTCCAATTTGACAACCTTATCGAAGGTGGTTAGGAAGCGTTCCAGTTGCTGCCTGGATGGTTCATCGGCCGAATCGTGAAACAAGGTGCCATCCAGTTGTTCGCGCATGGCCACCAGCAGGCCTTCGACGGTGGTAAACCGCCCGCAAAGGGCATTGGGACCCACGTCCAAGTCCAGCTCTGGTATCGATAAGCTGCACGTTTCAGACTTCAGCACATCGCGAGTGAGATCCTCTTTGCTTTCGATGCGCAGCTTGAATCGCACTCCCTCCGGCTCAATACCACCGCCAGACTTCACCTCGTTCGTCTTGAGTCCGCATTTCGAGCAGACGGTGGCCATGATGACCACCTCCTTGAAGTGCGGTATATTGGTCAGCTTCATGTTCGTCTCGCACGGTGCATGACAGTTGGGACAGTTCGTGCTGAACTGCAGCACCTCGCCATGCAGATTCTCAATTGGCCACGAGTCCTCGGCAATGGGCTTCAATAGATTCTGATCCTCGTGATTTTGCTCATAGAGGCCTGCAGGGAAGCGCATAAATGTATTTAATTAGTTGGATATGGTGCGACTCAAACGGGTTTGTCGACTCACCCAGCTGCTCGTTTTGAGCGGTAGACCGCGCAAAGTGGCTCGTTTTCAGCTGTGGATCGCTGGCGGGTGCCAAGGGATTCTCAATGAAACTGTTGCCCGAGATGTCCTCGAGCAGCACGCGGAAAGGTTTCTTCACTAGTTTTAGATCACGCAATCGATCGATGAAGGCATCTATGGACTCGGCCTCCGTGGGATGCTCAATTCGGCGTTTCTCCTGATCCTGCGATAAGCCCGTTATGGTGCGCTCAATGATGCCCTCAATGGTGGTCACCTCACCCTTTTGTGATTGCACGGGTATCTCCAGCTCCACTTCTGGTATGCTGATGCTGGAATTGTCTGATCGCACAACACGACGATTCAGATCCGCTTCCTTCTCCACCTTCAGTTCGATGCGTACTCCATGCTTTTGTATTTCGGACGCCGATTGCATTTCGCAGTTCGTGAACCCGCAGTGCTCACACTTGAAGGACATCAGCACCACCTCCCGGAAGAAGGGTATCTTCGTCGGCAGCAACCGAGTGGTGCCAGTCTTGAAGCAGCTCATGCAGGCGGATTCAATCTCCACCAATTCCCCTGCCTGCTCGGCATTAATTTCTTTGAAGATGGGCTCCTGTTGTGCTTCCGCCGTTACGGGCGCTGGGCCCTTTGTGTCGGCGCTCTCCGCCGCTGTAGTTGCGTTTGCCGCAGTGGACATATTTTAGCTATTCAGTTGCTTGTTAAAAAAATGTAAATAAATGGGACTATGCTGCTCTAACAACGTGTAGCCAGTGCTAGATTGTTCTAAATAATCTTTTCAGTGCTGTAAAATGCCGGTGGATAATCATAAGATACTTTGCGTATTCGTTACTTACCTTGCTTTGAAATGCTTACGAAAACTATATTTTGTAAAAAATGTCAAAAGTAGTTCGGCCAAGTTTTCTGTGAAATTTTTAGCGAATTGTATTCACCGTTAAATTTTGTGTACTTTTGTGCGACTATTCAGAAATTTTGTTTTCGCGAACTCCACCGAGAATAATATAAGCCACATGATGCAATTACATTCCTATTGGCGTTTCAGAAAAGAAGGAGAAGAAGGGATTTAATTAATTAATTAATTACGTTCTATTTAATGTTCTCCTAATATCTGCTCATTTTGGATGCCAAATGGTCTAATTTGAATGAACTTCTTCGAGTGTCCGTTAAATTCGAATTGCACATTGTTAAAGATGGCAAATTATCGTTGGTTCGATAGTTCGTGTAGCCATTTTCATCGATGCGATATGAAATATTTCATCGCTAACCGCGAGAACCAGCAGCAGCGGCGGCCAGCAGTGCTGTGTGTGTGTGCGTGTGTGCGCGACGAAAAAGTATAAATCGTAACGAGCAGAAGAAAAAAACGTGTGAAAATTTAAAGAAAGGTATCGCAATCAAATAATTAAATTGTCAATCATATTACTTTATTGCACAAGACGCGAAGACCCCTGAAGGACTTTCTGTCCATGCGTTTGTGCTGTGTATGTTCATGTGTATGTGTATGTGTATTTTGTGCGACCAGCAGCACCTGGGCGGTGGAGTGAAAATTTTGCGTTCAAGGACAACAGAACGACAGTGCGCACAGCTGCAAGTGTGTACTACTGTGTGGGATGTCTCCCTCCCTGCCCCATTTTCTATGTCCACTATTAGAACTTTCGATATGCTGCTCCTCGGCACGCCAAGACACTCGCTCAATTGCCCAGGCTCCCGAACATCATGCAAACCCATACACATGCATTAATACGTTCGTATGTATGTATGTAGAAAAGTACCGACTTTTAAAAGAGCGGGCGCGTTTTTTTCCATTCAGTGTTTCTGTTGCAAAACACAGTTAGTATCTAATTACAATTTAACAACAGAGAGCTCCGGTGTCCAGGCTACATTGGTAGCTCTAGTGTACACTAGAGCCAATTTTAAAATAGAATCTTTTACATATTTTGAAAGAAATTCAATTTTCAACCAAAACCTAAGTGTATATATATACATGTACATATATATTTAAGTGTGTGTGTGTGTGTTTGGGGTTGCCAATGTTTTTTTTTGCGCCCTGAACGGGCATGCGCATACCAACACATGTGCTCTCTTGCTCTCTCTTATACGCGTAAAACACATGGGTCGCGCTGCACTGAAAATAACTGTCGCAATTGAGAGAGACAATCGTACAGTGAGAATAAACGTTTGAGAAAAAGTACGTAAAAAAAAGTACGAAAAATGCCTGAATATGCCAACAAAAAAACAAAAAACAACAGCTGCGCAGATTCGACAAAGTCGTTAGGATGGTATGGGTCGGGGGAGTGCATATCTGGCTGATGCCCAGTTCCAATTGCACGGGGCGCTTAGACGCGTAGTCGACAGTCGTGCACAGATTCTCGTAAACAAAACGCTCGAAATTTGCGTACCACGTGTGTAGTCTGAATGCGTGTATAAATATATTTATATCTGTCTATATATACATATAGATACGTGTGAGAGTGTGTGTGTGTGTTTGCCGGAGTCTATAAATGTAGATTGGTGCAATTGTTTCGTGCAGCTGATTTGTTGTTGTGGTTGGTTTATTACCGTTTCGATGTTTTTTTTTTCTTCCTCTTGTTTTTCGAGGGCTACTAATCAACATTTAAATTTGCGACACATCCGCTGCGGTTATTACTCAAAAAATATATACATACATATGTATGTATGTGAATCGTTAGAGCCCGCGTACAAATATATGTGAATATAAATAAGTGTATATATGTGTATATCATATGGGCAG